TAACTAACTAACTAACTAACTAACTAACTAACTAACTCTCTCTCTCTCTCTCTCTCTCTCTTAAAGAGAGAGAGAGAGAATCCCTCCTTCCTTCAGCCCAACATTCTTGCTGGCATCCCGGATGGATGAGAGGGACTGCAGAGGGTCTCTTTGAGTCTAGGGCAGCAAGTCATTCGATGGGAAAGTTGCCTCTTGGAAGGAATGACCCGGATTGGCTCTCGCTTCATCTCTCACCCGCGCACCTTAGAGGGAACAGTGCTGGAATCCCTGCTCACAGTTGGCTTCTTGGGTGTTAGGGGAGAGGTCCTCACCTTCATCCTTGGGGGCTTTTCTTCTTGGCAAAGCAACGGAGGCGATATTAGGAGTCCTTCACTACAATTAGGGTGGATCGATTTTCTGGAAATCATAGATCCGAAATAGGTAGAGTGGTGTGGTAGCCTAGAGATGGAGCTCTCGCTTCACAATCCGAAGGCTGTGAGTTCGATCCTAGGTGGAGGCAGGTATTACTCTCTCTCTCGGCACCATGAGAATATATCTGCTGAACAAAACTCTGCTCTGGCAATAGGAAGGGCATCCAGGAAACACTCCGCTCCATTCAGTTGCCCAGCGTCCACCCCACAAGGGATTATGGGGTCGTTAAAAGATGAAGATGATAATTCAGAAATGGATTCATAGCTTACTAAACAAATCCCCCAAGCAGAATTTTCTGCTTTTCAAGCAGTAGATCCCAGATCCTTGCCTGCCTTTTTAGTGTGGGAGAGTTTGTGAGGAAAGTCATTCTGGGATCACTATTGCCCCTGAGTCCGATAGATAAGCATAGGGGCAGGGGAAGAGCCTGCCACTCTCTGAATCCGATTCTCTTTTCCTTCGTAGCCCTCGTCTTCCCAGGATGCCAGAGGTGTGTGTCTCCTCCTATTTTTGCTTACAGTTTTTCTGCAGAACATGGGGTGGAGGGTGCTGATTCCCGGCCTACTTTGCAGTCCTTGCCAGGTCCAAGTGCCAATCTGTGGGCATGCCAGGTCCAAGGAGCACCGCCAGCCTGGACGTAAGATGGGATACTCAGGACCTATGCTCACATCTCAAGCTCCAAACTCCTCAGGCTGCTGTCAGAAGCCTTTCCTTGCCCTGGAACTCACTGTGGCCCCTGCCTAGATGCTTCCCACCTATTTTCCCCCAATAGTAGGAGCAGATGCCTGAAGGTGAAACTGAGCCAACAGAGGGTTCTAGTCAGAAGTGGTTATTCAGCAGGTTCTGACCAGTTCTGGAGAACCAGTAGTGGAAATTTTGAGTGCTGTATTTTTTGGCGTATAAGACGCACCTTTCCCCCCCCCCCCCCAAAAAAAAAGAGGGTGAAAATCTTCGGTGCATCTTATACACTGAATACAGCATTTTTTGCCTCCTGAAACCCCATCCACTTTGCAAAAATGGACGTGCAGAGGGTTTGGGAGGCTTGCAAAGTGCTCCTGGGGGCTAGGGAGGGCAAAAACGAGCAAAAAATGGTCTGTTTTTTTTCTTGTTTTTGTCCTCCCCAGCCCTCAGGAGCACTCTACAAGCTGCCTAAAGGCTATGCATGCCCTTTTTTTTGGCAAAAAAGGAGGCATTCAGAGGGTTTGGAAAGTCTGCAGAGTGCAAAAACTTTTTTGAACAAATTTACCTCTTCAAAATAATGTTGCATCTTATACTCCAAAAACTATGGTAATTCAGAGAACTGGTAAATACCACCTCTGACTTGCCCGCCCCCATCTATTCTCTGCCTCCCGAGTCCCAGCTGGTCGGGATGAATTGGGGATTTTGCAGTTTCCTTCCCCTGCCACACCCACCAAGCCCACAGAACCGGTAGTAAAAAATGTTGAATCCCACTGCTGGTCCTGGTCCAGGGGCTGGCTGAGATTCCAGAGCCAAAGGGCTGCCCCTTGGAGGATTGGGACTCTTTGAAGTCAGGCCCTGGCAGGTGATGGAAGGACAGAAGGCAAGGAGGAGAACCTTGGGCTCTAACAGGATTGTGTCCTGTCTCCAAATGGCACAGCTGGAGGGCTTTATGGAGCAGGTTTTTTTTTTTTTGGGGGGGGGGGGTTGAGTGGCTGCAAAGATCTGAAGTTGGAGCTTCTGCTTTATTTCTGCCCAGCTCAGCCCGGCCCCCCAGCGGCCAGCAGCCAGATCAACAAGAAGCTGATTCCCTTGAAGGCTAAAGAGGGGCCCATCCCCACCAACACATGGAAGGCCCGTTCGTCACCTGGCCCGGCCCCCAAGCTGAAAACTGTCTCGGAACTGCTGCGGGAGAAGAGACTGCGCGAGCAGACGGCCAGGAAGGGCACCCAGAAGAGGATCTTCGTCGCCCCTCAGCTGCTCCTCTCTACCTCTGTCATGGTCCCACAGACAAGGGGTCCCACTGCCCCGTTGGCCAACTGCACCCCTGCTCCCACGGCCAGCCAGGCGTCACTAAGGCCACCTCCTGCATCAGCTTCCATCCCCTTGGGGACATTGTCTGGAAGGGACTCAGCCCCTCCAACAGACCTGGCGGGGGGCTCTCAGGAGAGGTCCCTTCCCTGCAATGGGAACAAGGATGAGGCAGCTAGAGAAGAAGGCAGAGACGGCGGCCAAGAGAGCTTTGCGCATCAGGGGGCTCCTAAAGTGGCCGGAACGCCTGTGGGGACTTTTGCTAACGTGAACTCCATCCCGGGAGATGCTCTTCATCCCTCTCCGGCCTCTGGTGCTTTACCCCACCTGGTAGCTGCCCACTCACAGCGCAGTGCAGTTGTCCAACCCACCCTGCCCATCAGTTGGGTGCTGACCCCTCAAGGCCTTCTCCCGGTCACTCTGCTGAGTATCCCCAGTCAAGGGAAGCCACTGGCCAGTGGCTCTGCTACTCCGTCAAATCCCAGCCAGCCTGTGGAGACTTCGGCCAAGATCCCAACCCCAACTACTGGAGTTCCGGTGGTGGAGGGACCTCCCATTCCTTCTGGCTGCCCACAGAATGATGCAGACACTCAGCTGAGGGATGTTCCACCTCTTCCTCCTGCACCGCTTCTTGGGAACTCCACAGAATCGGGGTGCCCTCCGTCCCCTGCTGGTTCCGGGGCACCTTCCTTGTCTTGCAGTGTCTTCGGAGGGACTGCCACCCCCACCCCCAATTCAGAGGCTTTGCCCCCGCCCCATCCCAATCAAGGCCCAGCCGCTCTGGAGGTCCCCTCTGACCCAGCCCCACAGGCCTGCCACACGCCATGCCCACCCCAGGAGGGCGCAGCCTGCCCCCTTTCTCGTCTCCTTTCCCTAGAAGCAGAGCCGGCAGTGAAAGCATGGGCCAAGGAGAGCCGGGAGGCCAGGGCTCCCTCACTGGGAAGGGGCCTGCCGTATCTGCCTCCATTTCTGTGCAGCTTGAAAACCCTCTCGGGGCTGCTGCTAAATAAATCTTCCCTGGAGCAGAGCGCTGCCTCTCTTCTGGACCCTGAAGGGCGGCAGGAAGAGGCTGGCCAGCCAGACCTGGAGGCCTTGAGGGACATGGTGCGCCAGAAGCTCCAGGACAACCCTGCCTATCAGCTCCTGAGACAACGGTTCATGGCGGCCTTTAGTTTCCCAGCTGCTCTGGCCGCACTGCCCCCTCCCCGGGTGGCCACGACCCTCTCGGGGGGCAGGTGGTGGGAGAGCAGCCAGGGAGAAGAGTCCAGCTCATCTTTGGAAGAGGAGGAGGAAGAAGAGGAGGAAGCTGAGAGACAACCCCAAGAAGCAACCAGAGATGGCCCTCCTGAGATAAGGGAGGCCAGCGAGGAACTAGAGGTAATCTTGGTGGTGGGAATCCTTAAGAGAGATTTTAGTGCTTTTTTCTAAGTAGACCTGTGGTATCTTACTACAAATAACACAATTTAAGAGCCATGGTACAACAGTGCTCAGAGTGCAGTACTGCAGGCTACTTCTGCTGATTGCTGGCTGCCTGCAATTTGGCAGATCAAATCTCACCAGGCTCAAGGTTAACTCAGCCTTCCGTCCTTCCGAGGTGGGTAAAATGAGGACCCAGATTGTTGGGGGCAATAGGCTGACCCTGTAAACTGCTTAGAGAGGGCTATAAAGCATTGTAAAGCAGGATATAAGTGCTATTGCTATTTATGGTCGCACCCAGGGGTGAAATTCAGCAGGTTCTGGAGAACCGGTAGCGGAAATTTTGAGTACTTCGGAGAACCAGCAAATACCACCTCTGCTGGCCCCAGAGTGGGAAGGGAATGGGGATTTTGCAGTATCCTTCCTCTGCCACGCCCACAGAACCGGTAGTAAAAAAAATTGAATTTCACCACTGGCCGCACCTATAAATTGACTCTGGGTATAAAACAAGGAATCAAACCTCAGCGAACAAAACAACATAATCAATACAAATCAACAGCGACAAGCAGCATCTCAGAGGTCTTTAAAACAATGTGTTTGTAAATAATAAAAAGAACTGCGGAACAATCAACAAGAACTCAATTTGGCATCCCAGCCAAAATTGTCCAACGATCGATCAAGGTTGTAGGCCCTTCCACAAATCTGAGAGGGCTGAAGGCACCTGGATCTTAGCAGGTTGCTGTACCACACAGACCGGTGTTGTGATGTAGAAGGGAGAACTGCTGGGTACCCCAAAATGATGCTGCTTAATTAAAAGGGGGATTGCAGAGAGTGCCCAACTCCCTCATTCATTCTGGGGTGAGCAAAAGCAAATGACAGACAGGTGGTCCTCCAAGTAACCTGATGGATCTTGACAGACTTGAACACTGGGCCCTATCGAACAAAATGAAATTCAAGGGAGAGAAAAGTCCAGTCCTACCCTTAGGTAAGAAAAACCCAAAGGACATATAGACTGGGTGAAACCGGGCTTAATAGCAGTAACTGTGAGAGGGATCTTGGAGGCTTAGTGGACAACCAACTAAATAGGAGCCAAAAAAGCCAACGCAATCCTAAATTGCATTAACAGAGGGATTCAATCAAGATCAAGGGAGGTACTAATACCACTCTATACAGCCTTAGTAAGACCACACCTAGAGTACCGTATCCAGTTTTGGTCACCACCCTATAAAAAAGCTGTTGAGACTCTAGAAAGAGGGCAGAGTAACCAAGATGATGAGGGGACTGGAGGCTAAAACATACGATGGACGGTTGCAGGAACTGGGCCTGGCTGGTCTAGGGAAGAGAAGGACCAGGGGAGCATCTTCCAATATTTGAAGGGCTGCCAAGAGAGGTGGGGTGGAGGGGGGTTCAAGCTATTTTCCAAAGCAAATAGGGTTGTATGCTTAGCCTAAGCAGAATGTCCTTCCAGAGGCCCCCAGCCTGTAAATCAAACATGATACATTGATGGAAGCCAAGGAAGGCTTTGGATATAGAAAGCCTAGGATAGAGATGTCCTGATAGAGATATTGGGACATTCTCCTGGGTATGAAAACATCTCTGTGTGTGTGTGTGTGTGTGTGTGTTGTGTACCTTTCATGTTTCTTGGTGACCAAGAAAATAAATATCCAATAGTAAAGTTCTTAGCCTTGGCTCAGCCAGTTGGGGAAATCCTGAGAGTTGAATCCATTCATCAGGGATTGGGGGGGGGGGGAGACTGAAACCACACAGAGAATGTGGGTTTGTGGAGTAAAGGATGCAGGCAATAGGCCAAGCCCAGGAATCCGTCTGTGTCTACAATTGGTCTTGGGTTGCATCTGTGAATCTTGTCGTCTTTTTAGGAGTCTGGAATGGATGTCGACTCAGACCACGGCTGCCCAGGCAAGGTACGAAGAAGCCAGCGTCTCCACAAAAGGGGAGTCCCTCTGTGACGGTGGCAGCCCCTTTGGTTCCATTACTCTCTTTATTCCTAAGCCCAAGCGTGTGTTTCTGGGGACCCCGACGATTGCCCTCTGGACCCCGTTGTTCCCATGTTCGGTCCGGAGAGGAAACCTCAAAGCCGAGGCAAAATTCTATCTCGTCATCTTTGCCACTGGGTCGATTTTGACAATTAGCAGCATCTCCTGTCTTAGGATGCGGGGAAATTGCCTTCCTTCCTTCCTTCCTTCTCAAGCAGTCTTATCCCGTCTGGCGTAATCACAAAGGCTGGGATTGCGACTTCCAGAAGTCCCCAGCTGGCATGGTCAGCACTGGGAATTCTGGGACTTTGGAGGATGGAAACATGCGGGAATTGGCATGAGTCCTGGACGTCCAATCGGATTGTGAACATCGCACCGTCTGACAAACAAATGCCCTTTTTGCTCTTATTTGTGGCAGTGGGACTGTCCCGGCATGCTGGATCTGTGTGCTAAGCCACGATAAAGGTTTATTTTGTTGGGGCATGTCACTTTTTGTGTTTTGTCAACCAAAGGGTGGGACCAAGTGCTTTGTGTGGAGTACAGCTGAGACACAGTTCTCTAAAATATAGGATTTTTTCCTACAGCTTCTTGCAAGCTTCCTTCCCCCTGAGTTGCTTCTCCCAAGGAGGCTATTGGCACCAACTCCCAGGGATACTCCAGCCCAGTGATGGGAGTGACATTCAAGGAAAGGAGAAGCAGGAAGTTACTGGCAGTTGCTACGTTGACTTATAGGGGTCCTTGAAGAAAGCTATTTGGGTTATACAGACTGTTTCTCATTTTGTTTCCCAGAGCACGATGTGAAGCAAAGTTATGCTTCTAAGACAGCTGTCAGTTGAATCCCTGTGTAGACTTGTGTGCAAGCAAGCAAACGGGCTCCAAAAATTGGAATAGCAACTGCTTCGAATAAGTTTTAAATTTTTTATTCAATTTGGAGTTGAGTTTGTCTGTTTTGCATTAAAATCTTTGTGTTTCACAAGGCTGGGTTTTATTTCTGACCATCTGGTATGAGAGATATTAGGGGGAGAAGCTTTGCATGTGTGAAAGGCAGGATTAAGGAGCCCTGCTCCCCCAAACTGGCCAGTAACAGAATAACAGAATTGGAAGGGACCCCAGAAGTGATCAGGAAAAACAATGTTTAAATAATTTGTAATGTGATTCAAATTAAACTATGAGGTAGTAGAGAATAGTACAATCACTAAACAAACCATAAAGTAAAATAAATAGTAAAATGGTCCTTTCACTGAAGTACTATTGGTTTAGTTCAAATAGTTATGGTTATTTTTTACTGATTATGGAAATAATAGTAAAATGGTTCAGAAGTTTATATATCCTTATATGTTAGAGTTGGTGATACAGCACTTGGTCAAGTTGTTGACGCACACAATTTCAAATGGCAATGAAGGGTAGGTATCCACATCTGCCTTATTGGATTAGAGCTGTGATAAATGTACAAGGAATTTATTAGCTCTTCAGAAAACTTTGTGCATTTCAATCAGAGTAGAACTGGAAGGGACCTTGGAGGTCTTCTAGTCCATTCCCTACTCAAGCAAGAGATCCTATACCATTCCAGACAAACCTCCAGTGAAGAAGCACCCACAACTTCTGGAGGCAACTTTTTCCACTAGTTATATCCACAAAATAAACATATTAGAAATTTAAAAACATTGTAAAAAATATTCCACTCTGACTTATTTATAAACCACAAAAGGAGGTAGAATGATGATTGTAGTTCAAGGCAATAAAAACATTCCACGACAATAAACTTTTTTGCAATTCAGCTGTAAAACTTGACAATGGTTGTAAACAACTTTTCAAAATGTCCCTTCAGTTTTCTCAAGATTGTTTACTCTATTTTTAAAAATTGTATTCAATTCCTTCATGATTATCCAAAAGCTTTTTGGAGGGAAGGGTTACATGCAGGCACTAAGAAGCTACCAGAAAGGAAGCAGCTTTGGACACTGCAACCCACACATCTGCCTTCCTTGGCTTCTTGCCTACCAGCTGTGTTGGGACAGATGTGTTCCAGGGAAGACAGAAAGGCCGAGATGCCAGTGGCTTCTTCCAGGAAAAGGAGGCAACCCTGCTGAGCGATACATTGAAATACAGCACAATTGACTGGCTCAATTAATTTTGCGAGGGAGATATAGGAATGTACACTGAATACAATTGAACTCACATCCCTGGCACAATTTGCAAAAGTTGCACCCCTTCAAAGAAAGCATACAATGATGCAAAACAATTTTTAAATAATTGGTGATGTGATGCCAGTTAAACTATTAAGGCAACAGAGAATTGGGCAAACACTAAACAAACAATAAGAAAAAAGGAAATGGTAAAATGGTCCTTTTATTGAAGCAACAGTAAAGAATAACCAATAGTAACCGTGATTGTTGTTTTGCAGTTGAGGGGCTGCCCTACCTCGCAGGGGTGGTGGGGAAACAATGAAACCATGATGGTCTCCTGCAAAGGAGGAGACACACCTGGAGGGAGAAGGGCTCTTTTGAGGGCTCCCCAGGTGTTTTCTCATCAGATGCGACCCCCAGGAAAGGAAGCCGTCATGGCTGCATTTGCATGGCCTTCTCAGCTTGGCTGGTGTCAGGTTAACTTTTCATGCAGTCAGCCTGTGAACCCAGCCGGGGCTCAGGATGTGCAAAGCCAGGAGTGGGAGGCGTGTTGTGTGAATGGGGTCTCTGGTCCCACCGACTCCTTTCAGGCAATGGCCTAGTTCCCCTCCTTCCCAGTGGACGGCCTGCAGCAAATATGAAACCC